ATCAGTTTTTAAAAATCTGTGTCCCTATTTTAAACCTTTTTATTAATCAGTTCTGATCTTTTTGTTTTCATACCACATATTTAGTGATGCCATGTGTCAGCTATTCTCTTGTTATGATCTAATATAATATTATAAACTACTAAATTCCATGTGTTAAATTCCATGACTGTAGTTTCCTTAAACACTAATTTCCCTCCAGGTTGCCTCGAACCAAAGGTTCTCCATAAATCTTAGCAAATTTGAAAGTTCCTGCTGTCTCCACTGAGAAATAAAATGTAAACATTTTTTAAGTACTGGCATCAAATGATCGATAAGGATTGGTGGCAAATTAAATCTGATATGTTTAAATCACGTTCTGTTCTGGAGGGCTGTGGCTCAGGTGGTAGAGGGGGTTGTCTCCCAATCTGAAGATTGGTGGTTCACTCTCTGGCTCTTTAATCTGCAAGTACCCTTGGGCAAGATACTGACTGCAAGTTGCCCCCTACACTGCAAAAACTCAAAATCTTAGCAAGTATATTTGTCTTATTTCTAGTCAAAATATCTCATCACACTTAAAATAAGACAAAACCAGCTAAAGAGTAACATCTCAGTAAGATATATTAACTTGTTTTTAGACTGTGGAGCTTGAACTAGAAAATTTTCACTGTTCCATCGGCAGATTTTTCCTCTTAGATGTTACTCTTTACCTGATTTTGTCTTATATTAAGTGTGGTTAGATTTTTTTGACTAGAAATAAGACAAATATACTTGTTAAGATTTTGAGTTTTTGCAGTGTATGCATCCAAATGTTGGACAAGGTGCTTAAAGGTCTTAAAGGTGTCATGTCTTTCTGATCCAGGTATGGGGTTCTGAAGGCCCAGCAGTTAAATGAAATATCAGACAGAGATCAGACAGTGGCTCTGCTGGAAATATTGGATGCTGAGGAGGGACAGTACCAGTTGGGACTCACCAAGGTGACAAATTGTTCAGTCATCTCACCATTTAGTTTGTTTTTAATTAGAAAGGTAAAGCAGATTTTCATTTACTGTATATGCAACTACATTTAGGTGTTCCTTAAGGAGCAACTGTACCAGCAGCTGGAAGAAAAATGGAGCAGCACTCAAACATGGGCTGCCATCACCATCCAGAGAAACATAAGGGGTTTCCTCTGCAGGAAGAACTTTAGATTCTTCAAACAGAAAGCCATTGTCATCCAGAGCCACATTCGAGGACACCAGGCCAGGTCTACTGAGGGAGAGGGGAAATCTATGCAATCTATGCAGTCATTCAATGGTGTTTGAGAAAGTGGTGTTTGGCCCTTTCCTGATGTCATACGTTTTTGTATGTTTGTCACACTTAAATGTTTCATCATCATCAAACAAATTTTAATATTAGACAAAGGTAACACAATTAAGTAAAAATCAGTTTCCAAATTAAGGTGTCTAATATTAAGTGGGGGGGG